TAAGAGAATATTTGGCTTGTGTTGATGAGTTGTCATGAGGTGCCTTCCAGGGTACTGAAATATGTCAATTCTTAGCATTGTTAGTGATCTTTGAAAGTTCATGGAGACTTGTTGAAGTCTTTCAGGACTGAAAAGGCCTCGATTTTCGAAAAGGGAAGAAATTAGTGCCTACTAACTAGATAGATAACAGTGAGCTTGATTATGATTCCTGGGGGGAAATCCCAGAATATTATAAGGGATAACTTATAATGTTACAAAGTAAACCATTAGAAAAGGAAAAGAAGGTTAATAAATAGCCATCGTATCTTCAGTCTTCATCAAGAACAGGTTACATCAAACTAGTTTAATTTACTTTTTTGACATTGTTACTAGACAATATATAGTCACACACACACATATTCTGTGCTTTATTTAGGAAGTTTAATTTGGTGGCTTAGTTGAGGAAAGACTGGAGTGGGGAGATAAATAAGGCAGGAAGACCAACCAGCAAGCTATTGTAATAGTTCAGTAAAGGGATGAAGGTTTGCACCAGGCTGGCGACACTCAGAGGAGAAAAGGGGTGGGGGGTGGTACACCAGAGACGTTATAATGATAAAATAAATAGGATTAGACAACAGTTTGAGCTGGTTGAATGATAACACCAAAGGATTGGGCAATAATGCCAATTAATGAGTTAAAATTAATTTTGAGGGAGAGAGATACCTAGGAATACTCCAGGGAACTGTCCTTGGTACTATGATGTTTAACATTTTTTGTCAGTGATTTGGATAAAAACTTGCATATTATAATTGCAGAAGAAACAGAGGAGGGATATTTAATACCCTGAATGACAGACAGGATCCAAAAAGATTTTGGTAGGCTACAGCACTGGTCTCAATCTAATAAAGGTGAATTTTGATAGGTATAAATGTGTAGTCTTGTAGTCTTCCACTTGGTTTCAAAAAATCAACTTTATTATTATGACAGAAGAGGCTTTGCTAGAAAACAGTGCATTTGAAAAAGTACTATAGTTCTGAACAAACTGAAAGCTCAATGTGAATCAACACAGTAATCTGATAGTCAAAGAAAACTAATTGGATCTTAGGCTTCGCCATTATTTGAAAGAAGGGATTATGGATTTTTTTTTCCTTTTTTTTTTTTTTTTTGTATTTCCAGCTCTTAACACAGTGCCTGACACATAGTAAGTACTTAATAAATGCTTATTGACGCAATGTTCAGAACAAGGGAATGATGGTTCTTGTCTCTGCCTTGGTTAGAAGACAAATGGAGTATTATGTTGAGTTATAGGTGATAGATCTTAGAAGAATATTGAGGCAGCTGGATGGTGAAGTAGATAGAATATAGGCCTAGAGTCAGGAAGACCTGAGTTCAAATCCAGATTCTGACACTTACTAGCTGTTCCACCTTGGATGGGTCACTTGAACTCTGCTTGTCTCAGTTTCCCCAACTGTACAGTGAAGATATTAATAGCATCTATCTCTGAAAGTTGTTGTGAGGATAAAATGAGATAATATTTGTAAAGCACTTAGCACAGTGCCTGGAAAAAAATTAGGTGCTATATAAATGTTCTCTATTATTATTTGATAAGTTAGAGATCATCCAGAGAAGTAAAACTAGGATATTTGAAGGACCATAAGATCATACATTTAGAGCTGGAAAGTACCTCAGAGTTTATTTTATTCAGCCTCTATCCACACCTTACAGTTGAGGAAACTGAGGTCCAAAGAAAGTTTACTGACTTTTCTCAAGGCATGCAGGTAGTAAGCAACCACAACTAACCTTTACAGTTTCGTTTCATTTTGTTTTGTTTTTAAGGTTTACAAAATACTTCCATTGAACTGATGGAGTTTGAATATAGATTGAAACATATTATTTTAACTTTTTTTTCATTGTTTTTTCCTTCTATTCTGTTTTTTCTTTCACAACATGACTAATATATATTTTACATGATTGCACATATATAACCTATGTGGAATTGCTTACCATCTTAGTGGGGGAACAGAGGAGAAAAATTTGGAACTCAAAATTTTATATAAAACATGAAAGTTTTTACATGTCTTTACATGTATTTGGCAAAAATAAAATACTATCTACTGGGAAAACAAAAGAAAACCAAATCAAAGTATTTTCTTTTCAAAGGGCTTATGAGTTAGTTTGGTTGTTGTTCTTGTTGTGAGTTAGATTGGTTGTTGTGAGTTAGATAGTGTAAATATCTCAATTTTAAAGGTGAATTTCCTCACCTGCAAAAGGCTGAGGGACTGTTATTTGCCCATTGTCACATATTCAGCAAGTGTCTGAGGCAGGATTAGAACTTATGTCCTCTGACTTTAAATTCAGTGCTCCATTGATTGTGACAACTTGCCCTGAAAGTGCTTAGAGGTCATTCATTCCCATCTCAGGTCATTAAATATAGGATTTTGGGGATATTTATTCTAGAAAAAGACAAGAAAGTCAGGAATATGTGAGTAGTTTTCAAGTATTTTAAGGACTGTCAAATCAAAAAAGGTTCTGTCCCTGGAACTGAATTAAGAGAACTATTCCAAAATACAATGGGATGCCCTAAGAGGGATTGGGGCTCTACCACAAGTCTTCAAGTGCAGCCTGAATGATCCCTTAAAGATGTAGAGGATATCTTCAGTATGGATTGGACTAGATGACCTTTAAAGGTATTTCCAGCTCTAAGGTTCTGTGAATTCTTGAGGTTAGGTCATCTTCTAGCGGCAGCATGGTATAATCAACAGTCCAGCGGATTTGAAATCTAAGACTTCTGATCTAATCTTGATTATGACATTTCCTAGTTTGTGTAAATGTGGTTAATTTGCTACTCTTTAAGTTTGTTTCCTCATTCGTAAAACAGCCATAATATACATATGCTATGATCCTATAATCAGAAAAGAATTAAAATGGCTTGGTTATTAGCCAGTAAATGCCACTTCATAGAGCCATTGGTCTACAGCTGGAAGCAGTCTTGGAGACTCCCTAAATAAGCAGTCTTAGACATTCTTAGAGACCCTCTAGTTCAACCTTACAGATGAGAAAACTGAGACCCAGAGAGGTTGTAATCCTGTCTAGGTAGTAAGTTAAGGTGATAGGTTTTAGCTTAGGTCCTTTGCCTCCAGATCCAGTGATATACTTGTGTACTTTCACCTAAAGTTCTACTCTGATGCCTTATTGTGACATGATAGTGTCTCCGGATTCTTGAAGCCTCTGCAAGTGGAGTCCAAGTTCTGACAGATTGTACCAAGCTGGAATGGCTCCAAATCTGGGCCTGGTGATGAGTATTATGTTGTTGTCTGAAGACAAGCTTAGCTAAATTTGGAAAGGCTCATCACCAAGTTGCCTACAGTATGCTGCTACATTTTCAGAGACTTCAATCCTTTAGGAAGGGCTACTAAGTTGTAAAGGGATTCCCAACCTGTGTTGCTAGAGAAAATACACCAAATCTTGGTGCTTTGAAAGGAACAATTTGTACCACCTTTTCACTGGGTTGTTGGGAAGAATGTGCTTTGTTGACATAAAGTTGACAGAAAATGTGAGCTTTTACTATTCTTGTTTGCATTACAGTAGTTTGGAGAAAGGGATCCAGAGGAGCATAGTGCTTCAAACATTTATTGGTAGTTTGATCACTAGTACAGGGCTGCTAGTACTCTGGCCAAACATTTTCGCCTTTAAGGTATGTTACTGTTTCACATTTTTCTCTTAACTCATGATTACATGTATCTTGCCTTCTCTAGGAGACCATAGAGAGACAGTAATCTTACCTTTTTTCCCCCTCTCACTGGAAAAAAAAAACAAAAACACAAACAACAGCACAGGATTTGGAATCAGAAGACCTGGGTTCCAAACCTGCCTGTGTTACTTACTACCTCCATGACCAAGTTATTTAAATTTTTATTGGCCGTTGTTTCCTCATGAATCTAGACATCAAGTGAATCTCTCAAGTCCTTTTCTCAAGAACCTCATGGCATAGCCTTGGGTACATTTGCTGTCGGGGGAAAAATATATGTATATGTACATGTATATGTCTATGTACACACACACATACAGAGAGAGAGAGAGAGAGAGAGAGAGAGAGAGAGAGAGACTTGAGTGAGTTCTGCTAGGTGGAAAGACAAGACCCAGATCTGGTCTCTGCCCTTTGGGTGCTTCTGTTATAGCAGTCAGCCCAGACTGCCGAGAACAAACATCTACCCAACATCCGAATAAATAGGAAACAAGGGAAAGAATCAAAATACAACCGGTTAACTCACGCAACAAACACATCAAATGTTTACAGAAGTGTCAGTGGGAAACTGGGCCGGGGGATTAATTGTATCTCTAGACAGCACGGTTTCAGAAAGGGGATGCATGGGCTCTTGTTGTGATGGGCTCTACAGTGCTACTGAAGCCCCCTCCCCATCCACTTCACCCCAGCACAGCTGGAGATGCGACTGGAGAAGGCGGGGCTGCTTTCTCGCCCCAGGACCTCCGTTTCCTCCCCTCCCCCCACTCCCGACGGGGTAGCTTCCAAAACCCGGAGATACGGATTCCTGCGCACGTCCGGAAGCGTCCGGCGGGCTAGAGTGGAGGGGAGGGAACTAGAGCGAGAACCCCACGGAGCCGGAGGCACGGCGCATGCGCCGAGGCTGGCCGGGGCTTTCGTCGCAACTAGGAAGCCGGAGCCCGGGAGCTTGAGCCCGGGAGCCGGAGCCCGAGCCCGAGCAGCAGCGGCGGCGGCGGCGGAGGCAGCGGCGGCGGCGGCGGCCGCGGGGTGGGGGAGCCTGGGTGAGGTGGAGCCGGGGGCGGGTGGGGAGGGAGGGGGGAGAGTCTGAGGCGGCCGCCCCTGGCGGCGGGTTTGTTTATCCCGGGGAAGAAGTTTGGAAAGCCGGAGAGAGGGGACGAGGAAGCGGTTGGGGAGGGAAGAAGGGATGCAGCACGGCGGAGGCGGCCGCCGCCGGGACTCCCCGCCGTCACCTCCGCCGCCGCCGCCGCTGCCTCCGCCTCCGCCCGCTCCTCAGGCCGCCTCCGCCGCCCCCGCCTCAGCATGAGAGGAGCCGCCGCCGGGACGCCCTGCCACCCCCCGTTGCTGAGCCCGGTAGGTCCCCCAGGCCCCAGCGAGGCCCGGGCGCCCAGCCAGTGCCACCTGGCTGCCCCCCCCCCCCCCCCCCCCCCCCCCCCCGCCCTGCCCCCCCCCCGGCGCTCCTGGATCCCCCCCCTCCCCGCTCCTGAGTCTCCATGGGAAAGGGGCAGCGTCCGGGGCCGGGGCTGCCCTTCTCCGCCCCGGGCCCCCATGCTGACCTGACTGCCCCTTCTAAGTACCCCCTCCCACACACACGGCCAGCCTTGTTTACCCAGGCCAGTCACCCCGCACAAATGAAATGGATCTATAGCCCCGTCAAAACACACACAAACACACACATACACGCGCGCACACACGTACAGACACACACATACATGCACACACACATTCACTCCCCCACCCCCACCCTCGCCCCCCTCTGCACCGTTTCGGGCCAACCCTGGGCGCCTGTTGGGCCAGGTCTGGGTTTACATCTCGGCTCCCATTCATGGCGTTCCCCAGTTAAGTGAACCCTGCCTGGGGCCTTGATTGTAGTGAGGGGTGGGTGGAAAGAAAGGCCTCTGCTGGCCTCGTCTCCCCCCATCAGTTCTTCCTCACTCCCCGTCCAAACCCCAAAACGCTGAACTTCCCCCATCCAACCCCCTGGGGTGGAGGTGGGACATGCCTAAGGTTCTTCTAGTTCTGATTTACATAAGGGAATGAGATTTAAGAAAATGGTTTCCTAACTTACCACTCCCCCCCCTTTACACATTTAGCTTTTTCCCATATTGCACCCCCTCAAGTTAGCACCTTAATTACAGGGCCTCATAGGAAGATGGAACCCAGCTTAATGCCGGTAATGTTGTGGGTTTTAAGGTTTCTCAATTCACAGATCGAATCATTTATTTAGTCTTTCTCTATAGACTCCTGCCTTTTCTCCCCCCCCCCCTTTCCGGTCTCCCCCACTAACCCAGGGCCTAGCTTTTCATATCTTTATCACTTATCACTGACCTCTTCCTAGTAACTTACTCTTTTATGCACCACAGATCCAAGTAGTAAGAAGTTGGTGCTTTGAAAGGTTGCTCCCTCTTCCCTTCCCCCCCTCCCCCCCCCAGGGAAAGCCAGGGTTGTAAACCATTGTCATCCTGAGATTAAATCTTAGTGTCCGATAATTTCACCATTTTACTCCCGGAGAGAGCAGGGTAGAGGCCCTGTCCCCATTCTCTTAATTCTTCACCGCTCTTGATAAAGTTATGACTCATATTTTAATGTCACTGTAATTTCACTGGTATGGAACATACAAGGCTTTAGCTCCCTAAATCAAAATTAGGAAAAACCAGACTTTAGAGAGAGATGGAGCTTTGATTCAGAAGTCCTTACTCACTTTGGAAATCATCTGTTATCTTTTTAGTGAGGAAAAAAAATAAGAGAGATTAATTCATGAGATCTTGTGACTCCCTGCACAGGGTCACAACTTTACCATTTTATTAAGTGGAAGTGTGGAGACAGTCCTTTAAAATAAAGTCTTGTGTATCTGCACTTTTTCTTTTTTGTTAAGAGAATAAGCAATTTTTTTTTTTTTGCACTAGTGAACCTCAGTACATTGAGAATGTGGTTTGGTTAGGTACAGTGGCTTTTAGAACAACTTAAATTCCTCCAATTTTAAAAAAGATGATTTCTTTCTGCCAGTGTCCTTAGATTGATGAGATTTTTGTTAGCTTATCCAGTTTTATTTTCCACTACAAAACAGAAAACACTCTCTAATAACCATACTGTTACTGGAACTTAACTACCATGTGTATTTGCTCCTGCTTATCCTCCTATCTGGAATGCCATTCTCCTTTTGTTCTGCTTATTCAAATTCTAATTGGCCTTTAATTCTCACCTCTTTTCCTTAACTCCATTCAGCATTGTACTTCTTTCCTTACTGACCACATAGTTCTATACTTTTTTTGCAAGTGGTCTTTCCTGGCTGGGAAGATCCGGACTTGTGGACTTGAGACTTGAGAATATGAAAAGGTTCCAGAGTCAGTCTGAACTTCTTGGGAGCAACTGCCATTTGTTATACAATTCAGAATATCTAGAAAAGTAATCACCCTGGAGAGGTGGCTTCTTTTATGTAGATAGACTTTGGGAGTTGCTGATGACTTGGAATGTTTCCTTCACTTCACCTTACTGTAGAGGCCACTGCTGGAGAGTGGGCACTGAAGTTGGAATGAGCATTTATTTATCCATTGAAACATTCCTCAACACTAGTTATATACTGTTGATAGTCCAGATTTTTTAGTTTTGTTTGTTGTTTTAAGTATATTAGGGATTAAACAGGCTTGAGAACCCACACACTCAGCAACATCATTGTTTCTATAGAAAACTGCACCGAGATACACAGATCAATTTTGAAGAAAAGTTTTTGGATCACAACCTATTAAGTTGTGGAATCCCATATTTACTTTATTATGTGTGTGTGTGTGTGTAAATGTATATATATTCCTCTTTTGTATAATTTTTATCTTTCGATCTTGTAGCTTTGTCCTCTCAACAAGATATAAGCTACTTGAGAACAGGTATCATTTTAATATACTTAATTCCTGTGATGGATGACTGGGAGACCCTCATAGTTATTGAAACTCTCCTTTTCCACAAAAAAACCCAATCTCTAATGATTTTTAAAATGGTTTCTAGGCACTTGTTTTTGTTGAAACTACTTATTCAGTAGTGCTACAATGTTTGAAGTATCCTAAAGACCAATTCTCCTTTTTCTTCTCTTATTTTCACTTAGTGGGCAAAGCTCCTGTAATAGTTTTCACCTATACTTCTGCAAGAAATTGTCTTTATATGAAAATTAATCAATTACTGATCAGGATAATTTAGTTTTGATTAAGGATTTGGAGGTGTCAGATGATTCTTAGGTTTTATTTTGGGTACTTGACTATTCTGGCATAAGAATTTCAGATTGTACTATTACATACAATACCAAAAAGGCTTGTCCATTCTTCTGCTATAATACTAGGGACAAAGATGAAAAGATATATACAATTCTAAATTCTAATAATTTTAAGAAATATTACTACATATTCTTTCTGTCAGGAGTTTGTTCATGTATTTCAATTTATCTGCTGATGTCAGTCTCTTAAACATCTATGTCCTTTCTTTTGTATGACAATATTGCATCAAGAGATCTTGTGACTCATTTTATTTTGAAATACACAAAAGCCTGCACTTTGAATGTGATAGAAATGCCCAACATTTACCTGGATTCCTATTTTATTTATTTTTAATCTAGGCTAACATAGGACTAAATTACATAATATGCTTTATTATCTAAATATTTGTCTAACGTTGGTTAGCTCTCTTGTCACTGTACCATTTGGTTATGGTCAAATTTGTGGGCTCTCACCTCAAGAGGATACTATCCTAAGGTAGGGTTTGGCACATAATAGATACTTAATTCTTAATATGCTTGTTGATTGGTGTAGGCCAAGTAACTTCTATTTATTCCTCTGAAATACTGTAGTTTGCACAGAATCACTGGCATGAGTATATGCATGGGTCACTTTTCTAATTTTTGAGTGCTTTTTATGTACCTAAGTACTATGCTAGCCAGAATAGAGCTCAAAAGAAGTATGAGACATACTTCTTCACATAGGCAAGCAAGATATATAAACAAGAAGAGATGAGTATGTCTGCATGTGTATATATGCCTTCCATTTATATATGTGTATACATACATGTATATGTGGGAGCTTAAGATTATATATTTCATGGTGTGATTAATTTTATGTAAATACTCCCTTCATTGATGTGTATCTGCATCTACATACTCTCTCATTGTGAATTTTTAATCCATGTTCTCTAAAATCTTAATCTATCCAACATACTTAAGGCATTTCTCCTGCTAAGTCTTTTAATATTTTGTGAGTTCTAAAGTAGTTGTGCTTGCTATCGCTTTTCATTCTCCTGTTATCTGATTGGCTCACTTTTCCAATCTTATAACTGTTATAAAGATAATAACTTTATGTCACTTATCTTTGATTTCCACAAAAATCCTGCTTCATTACTTCATTTTCCTGTGGAGATGATCCTTATTTGGTCTCTAGGAATTAATTCTTTGGTCAGGATAACATAAACCAATATTATGTATTGATATGATCAAGTACTAAAGTAGGATATTATGATAAAAGTGATAATTGTGCTATACAAACAGATGCAAACTAGTCATAGAAGATTCTGAGCAATTGATTTGGGCTATAGTTTCAAGGCTCAGAGGGAAAAGTGGACTTGTTATGGCATAGAATCAGGCTTTAGAGCTGGAACAGGTTAAGACCTTTGAGATCATTTCATCCAGACTCTTCATTTTATAATTAAAGAGGAAACTGCAAGGTGTCATAGGTAGTAAGTGGTTAAGCCAAGATTTGATTGACCCAGGTCTTTTGACTCTAAATCTACCACTTTTTACATCATACCACACTGTGGAGCAGGTATTCACACCTTGGCCCTCTGATTCTAAACCTAGAATTTTTCTATTGTAACAGTTTTGTTTTGTTTTTTGAGGGGGAGGGATAAAAGGTAGAGTGTGGAAAATTGGTATATGATCCATGCACATCCCATTATCAATCACTACTGGAAAACTATCTCAAATATGTCATTTTCCTATCTGATAGAGCATTTGGTTAAAAAATTTTGCTTATTATCTGAAATCTTGTTTCTTAGACATTTCAGTCTTTTAAAACTATATGATAAACACATCCCCTCCCTTCAGTTTTAATGCCTACTTAAATATTTAGGAGTGGCCTATACTAGTAAAACTCAATAATGGTAAGTAGCTTGGTATAATGGATAGAGGGCCTGCTTTGGGGTCAAAAAAGATGTGGATCTGACACATGGTGTGGAATTGTGATTAAGTCCTTTAGCTTCAGATCTCTAGGCCAGTAGTACTAAAACTTTTTGGTATTTAGACCCCTTCTACACTACCAAAAAACCTCCCTCCCCAGTTTTTGTTTTTGTGGGATATATTTATTGCTGTTTACTTTATTAGT